TTTTTTTTTTTTTTTTTTTTTTTTTTTTCTTTTTCTTCTTTTCTCCGAAGAGAAATAATTTTCTTATTTATACACAACAAAACCACCGATATAATTCGACGAGTATCGAGTAAAGGCGTAAGCAAGGATTTATTAATCTTTTTCACTCGCTTTCCTGCGAGTGATTGGCATTAAAAATACCTTCGAATCGATTTATCGACGACGCTTTCGTCAAACGGGTGTTGAAGAGGTGTGGAACAGGGCCTCAACGCGACTAACCCAAGATCTTTGTATATTATTAGATCGTTGTTACCGGTCAAATTAAACCTCCTCCGATTCAAGGCCGGTACTTTAATTATCGCGGATGAGATCTTTTTTTCCCATCGTATCTATATCGTGTGGATAATCCACGTATAGGAGAAGAAGGTTGAAAGGCTTTTGATAGGAGGAATAAAAGACGCGTTTTCTATGCATTCGTGTATTGTGAATTTCCAGTGAAACAGGGGCGAAATTTGATTCCGATGGATCCAAACGGATTGTCGGATCCATACGTCAAGCTGAAGTTGATTCCAGATTCGGACACTGTGAAGAAGAAAACGAAGACGATCAAATCCTCGTTGAATCCCGAATGGAACGAGACCATCATTTTGTGAGNCTTCGGGATATCGGAGCTTATCAAAGCGCCCGCCAACGGCTGGTTCAAACTGCTCACCCAAGAGGAGGGGGAATATTACAACGTACCTGTTCCGGAGGAGGGTGTCGATCTCGCCGAGTTGAAGATGAAGATGCGAGTATGTTTATTTATTTAACCTTCTGCGCCCGACACGGTGCGCTCTCGTGGTTCGATGCGACCCGAAAGATGGCTCTTGGCCATCATTTGGATTCGAATACGGTGACAATATTTATTTATTTATTTATTTATTTATTTATTTATAATTGATTTTTTTTTAGAATAATATAGTTTCGACTCTTTCCTAATTTCTTTCTTTCTTAACTTCTAATATATGATAATTTTATGAAGCGTAGAATAATATAATAGATTTTTAGATTTTCTTATTTAATTAGATTAAGATCTAAGGATTGCATC